TGGAATGTAGTTAGAATCAATCGAAAAAATGTCACTGCAATGTAGTTAGAATCAATCCAGAAAACGTCACTGGAATGTAGTTAGAATCAATCCAGAAAATGTCACTGAATGTAGTTAGAATCAATCCAGAAAACGTCACTGGAATGTAGTTAGAATCAATCCAGAAAACGTCACTGGAATGTAAATAGAATCAATCCAGAAAACGTCACTGGAATGTTAATAGAATCAATCCAGAAAACGTCACTGGAATGTAGTTAGAATCAATCCAGAAAACGTCACTGGAATGTGAATAGAATCAATCGAAAAAATTCCAGTCGGATTGTCCACTAGCCATGCGCAGCAGCAATCGTAGTTTGCACGGCTATGCAATATTAACGAATCCAATCCTCGTTCACCTCGAAAAATCACAATATAAAACTGACCAGAAACCATCATTGATAATGAGCTGGAAAATCCACATCTGGGGCGATAACGGAAATCGCTAAAGTCTTGGCGATTCCATGGGAATTATTGACAGGGTTCAAGTAGATGAATAATGAGCCAGGGTTTTCGCTAGAAAATTGGCTAGGGTCCGAAACAGTCACGGAAAGCACTTAGATAGAGCATAAAATAATGAGATGGTCATGCGAACACTAGTGGCTTAACATGTCAACGGCAGAATTGTCACCAACACTGTCACCAACACTGTCACCAACACTGTCACCAACACTGTCACCAACACTGCCACCAACACTGACACCAACTCTGTCACCAACACTGTAACCAACACTGTCACCAACACTGTCACCAACACTACCAGTAATACTGCCGCCTATGCTCTGCCCAGATATACAAAAAACTAGAGTGAACAGAACACTTCGCAAAATTCGCTACACTTTGAACTTGAAACATTAAACTCGTGTTTGAGGGACAATTTTTATAAAAATTAATGAATATTCACATTTTATTGCAAATGAGAAATGTGGTTGATAAATCAGAGCAATTCTCGACATGATTATACTTTCAGAAGCTGGGTCAAAATTTTTTGATTGAAGTATTGAACGCTGAAGTGTCAGCTCGATTACAAGTGTTGTGGAAGTTCAGAATAAATTTTATATTTCACTCATAATACCCTTTCGTAAATTATTTCACCTTCAGCAATTAGATACCCAAATGCAAAATGTTAAAAACCCTCAAAATATAAACAACAGCGTTTCATTTCAGCGGCATGCAAAACTTGAACTCAAACCAATAGAAAACAATGGCAGTATTGAAGGTTACAATCCGCCATTCAGAGCTCACCGTTGAATTTGGTAACGTTGTTGATATGTTGAATGCATAACAAAAGAACTGCTGCATGTCATGTCACCGAAATATTGCAGTCACACCATTATAGACCAAATTACGTTTTGCAAGCCCAAGCATCGATGAGTCACGTATATCCTATTGCAAAATCTTTAGCAACAGTTTCCTGCGAACGAGCGTAAAAGCGTCTAAACAATTCTGAGATTTTGCTTCGATTCATCAATAATGAAGAAACAGCCATGTTGATAAATCATCAGTGGCAGCAAAATGGATTCATACATCGTTATATCTTAATCATGAATTCAACTTTTATGCTTATGTGTACTTCAAATGTAATTAGTTCTTATCATTTCTACTAAAAGAACGTAAATTATATTTTCACATTACTTTGTGAAATAAGAGCCTGTATATAGAACGAATACTCAAAAAAGAAAACTATAAACGCATATCAGATATATAAAGTGAAGTAAGAGGCAGGCATTAACCAATTCAGGTTCCTATACGCTGAGTAGAAAAAGAACAATAATATCTTGTACAGATTAATTTATAAAACGATATCAGGGTGAATATGTGCGCTAATTCTTCTTTTCAGCGATGATCAACTAGTTTCGAGATTATTCACCACACACATTTTCAGCAGCATCATTAATTTATGATTAATATGAGTTTATCAATATTAAGGTTAGGAATTATTATTATGCTCAAAAAGTTTTGAAAATAAAATTTCGACATTTCTTAATTGAAATTTAATATGGCGTTCCCGGTATTTTTGGTAGAATTTTGTTTGTGTTTGCAGCAGTACATAGAAATGATGTCGCCTTGTTCGCCCCTTGAAAGTGATCTGTTGTATACACTGATACTTTAAGGTTATGGGATTATTTCATTAACTTATGAATCAATAATTCAATGATAAGCATAAAAGGCATTCCGATAAAAATCATTTGTAATATTTCTTTTTCGTCAGGCAAATTGGGTAAAAATGGTTATTAGGAAATACTCTAAATTAAGATTGTAAAAATTCAAGGAGCTCATTGCACTTATACAAATATAGTAATAGTCGTTTATTATTGAATCTCACCAAAGCACAGAAATTACAGAAGTAATCGAGATTTGCAGCGGTTGATAGTGAACTAAATAACAGGATTATTTCAAATCTCATATCTAATGTAGTTTACATTTAGTAAATATTCTCACCCAGATGTATGTTATATGTAACACTTGTACCTATACATCAAGAGTAAACTAATAGAAAAATAACGATATTGTCCGACCTATAGATTTGAAGAAAACCCACGACCAAGATATAAACTTTAAACCGCCATAACTCGGTCAAAACTAATAAAAGTAAGTTATAAAAAATACTAGAATGATGACAAAAGAAGGGGCAACAATATGCACTAGTCAAAACAACGGAAATAATTTTTATAGATAGACATATTTTATTTATATGTATTATTATAAATGGGAATTTCAACGCGTAAGTAGCTATCCTGGATACGCGCGGCAGCAGGCGGAGCTACGCTGGCCGAGGGCTGTCTAGCGACGAGGGGACAGCCCTGCTACCACATTCATTAATTAATACCTTACAACTTATATAACTAAATATAGCAGTGAAATAAAGGTATTAAGGTACTAAGTAATATAATAAATTTACTTCAGGGGACAGCCCTGCTACCACATTCATTAATTAATGCCTTACAACTTGTATAACTAAATATAGCAGTGAAATAAACCTCTTAATTAAGGTCTTAAGGTCCAAAGAAATATAATAAATTTACTTCAGGGGCAGCCCTGCTACCACATTCATTAATTAATGCCTTACAACTTATATGACTATATATAGCAGTGAAATAAAGGTCTTAAGGTACTAAGGTCCAAAGTAATATATTAAATTTACTTCAGGGAACAGCCCTGCCACCACATTCATTAATTATTGTCTAACAACTTTTACAACTAAATATATCAGTGAAATAAACCTCTTAAGGTACTAAGTAATAAAATAAATTAACTTTGGCCTGTGTCCGGATGCGTGATATGCTTGAAGTTGACACAATCTATGCACTGATATATAATTCCTAAGTCGTTTTCGTAACTGTTACGTCATGAATGTTTTTTAATCGTTTGTCTCAACTATTACATATATTTATTGTAGACAATTTAGTTTAAATAATCGTCATTTATAGATATTTTTATAATCATTGGCGAGTAATATGAGAAAGGAGGTTTTGCAACCGTTAGGTAAAATGGTCAATCATATACGTGCGATCATTCTGCGAACTTCTATTTAAGCCACACGTGCATTTATTTATTATTCGTAAAAATTTTCCAACATCAGTATCCACAAAAGTTATTTCATTGAAACTAATGCGCTAGTATAGCAGGCCTCTGCCAAGCTAATTACTGACTCTAGTTAAAATAAAATTTAATGCCAATTTTCAGTACAAACAGCAATCGGTGAACAAAACAAAACGAATTCAGGAAAACCCATCTGCTCATTCTAGAATTTCATAGCCATGACCTAAAAAATTGAAGTATAATTATAGGCAATTCTGGTCTAAAATCGTTGATGAAATCCGCAGGTGTATTAACTAGCATCTGCTGACGTTAAAGTTGCATCGTCAGCAGGGCAAACGGTTGAATATGACCATAAACAACATTTCTCAACATGCACCATAACTTGCGCTAGAATGTCACCAAATACAATGCTCAAAACTTCTGCGTATAGAAATTGCTTGCAAAAAATCTAAAATTCACGTCTAAAATTGAATTTTATTGCTTCATTTATCAACCAGAACTTTAAGCTTGGTAACGCAAGACTCCGCGGACACTAGCAATGCTAAAATTGGTGGTAAATTTACAGCAATTCGTCACCAACTTTGCGAACAAGTTGTCTCGACGTAACGATCATTCGCCATCGACTACATTTGAGACAAAGAAACTTTAAAAATTTCACAGTCACCGCCAATAAACTATAAACGGAGACGCATGCTTTTTAATAGTTTGAATAGCTTTACGTCTGAAGCATTTAAAACGTATGTGACTTACCTAATCCACCTAATCCACGTCAAAATGAGCTCAACAAGAGACTAGTTAGGTAAAATGTTCAACATAGCACCGAGTTAGCTATAGATGTTGATAAGGAAGTTAGTGCGAAATTCCTTGGCAGAGAACAAACATGGGCAAGGAGCCAGGTGCTAGTTTTCGTTTCCGAGTGAAAGAATTAGTGAGATTACGAACTTGAATTAGTCCCGGCCCACGATTACGAATTCTATCGGGAATGAAAAAACGCACGTATATTTGATAATAGTCTTTGAACCAATTTAAATATTGTCGAAATTATTTTGGTTAAATAAATTATCTAAATTAGTGTAGTCATGATGAGGAAGCGTTAAAAATCAGACAATCGTTGCATATGCAGGTGAACTATAGGGACATTCACTCTAGCTCGAATAATAATCTTAATTCGAGTTGTATCAGGCAGGAAAGGCTTAACCGCACAGGCATTAGGATAACGGTTAACATTTCGTGTACTGATAAGAATGGCGAAAAAACGCAAAATTCTAAAGCATATGTAAATTAGGTCAAACTTTCAAGCTTTATACAAAGCGTTGCGAAAGTTTATAAACTGGAGTAATAAGTTAAGCACCTGCTGACGCAGAAAAACTCAATTTATAAGCAATTATACAAACACGTAATTTAAATACTAGAATACTCACCCTTTCTTCCTCGCGGATCATTTCAGCAATACCAGGTCGAATTTCGAAATCTTCAGGGGTCTGATGAGGTCTAGCCATGGCGGGGTGATGCATGTTGAGCAGCGGTGAGAGCGGACTAAGAGGTGGCAGATGAGCGAGATGAGGAGGTAAATGTGCTAAAGAATGACCAGGCGGTGGCATTCCTCCTGGTAAATGCGCGGCCAAACTTGACAAACTTGATGCTAACGATGCTGGGGAATTAACATTAGCACCATGATGGTTTCCGTTACCGTGAGATGAATTCTGGCTCGATGCTGACGAACGATTGAAGTTTGCCTGGGAAAATATCGGGTCCAGAGTCGTGTCAAGGAAGTCCATGGCCATGGGGGGTGAAGCGATGTCGGGAGATGGAGACCGACTTCGGGCATGATTTATGTGCGTGTCATCTCCGCTGTACCTTCGTCGTTTTCTAGGGGCCTCTTCCCCGACCCTGGGTCTTGGTGCTGGGGACGTGGATATCGTTGTGGCCTCTGGTTCATCCCCGTCACACACTTCCGTAAGTCCCCTCACTTTGAGGGACTCAGCAACCCTTAGGAGTCCTGCAAGTTCATCCTGTGACACGTTAATTTCCCCCTTGTACATAAAATCCACTACGGCTTTCAACTCGCACCATTTCACTCCTTGAAGGATTATGACAGGATGCGAACAATCAGATTCCTTCAGGATGGTTTGAAAGTAAGGAGAACATGCAGACAGAACCATCCGGTGAGCCTGGATGCTCTTCTCATCACAAGAAATGGTTACGTCGACGAAGGATTGCTTCTCGAAAAGGTTCAGGAACGTTTGCTGGAGATTGCTTCTGAAGTTGTTCCAACGCAGACAGAACTGCTGGTTCCCCTCACCTGAACTTGACGTGTGGTTGACACTTGTGGAGTTGTGAGAGTTGGAAGGAGTTGGAGTTGAAGATTCGCTGTTGGTGTTGTTAGTTGAACTCACGGACGTTGGCGCCGTGGTTCCGAACGCTGTAGGCGATGGAGGCATCGACATTTTCATTCACAGAATCACTATAAATTGTCCTCGATTTCACGACACTTTTTTTCTTAGGAGGTTCCTAACCTCAAGACATTGGCCCTAGAGCCAGGAGTTATGCTTACACTTTCATACACTGTAAAACCATTACGAATAATAGCAGCCAAGACAATTGATAAGGAAATGCCGCACGGTCTTTTTTCAGCCCAAGCGATTTCTCATCAGTAATTGTTCACAATATTTGAACTCGAAAATTTTGAGATATTTATACCGGGATAGCGCGTGGTCGGATCAGACCAGAGTCTGTGGAGCAGAGATGCCACCAACGCGCCGGCTACGACAACACTGAGAGACTGACAGACATACAACCACGCTCACGACTTGGAGCACACTGACCCCCTCAAGCCCTCAACACCTTCACGAATGAAATGCGTTGCCAGATGCACGATGACGTGCAAGCTTTAATACCACCAGTTTACGTTCTATGTTGCATATTATTATGTGGGGCCTGATGAATGATTATATATTCGACTGTTTTAGTAGAATTTTCCGGCGAGAGATGCCGAATGTTGTCAGAAGGAACATAGGGCTTTACATGTGAAAAAAAACATTTATTCACCATATACCATTTTAATCAGGCCCATTTACATAAAAAACGTAGATATTCTAAATATGAACTATTACAATGAGTGCATTGAAAAAGTAAAAGATGTATAAGCGCATCAGCCAACAAAACCAATCAAGCCAGCCTAACCGCCCAACGGTTCCGAAACCTATCCATACAGAGTTCAAAAAAACGCCAAAAGTTGAAATATCTGGAAGCGTTTGGCATTATTAACCTTAGGCCCGCCTGAAGTTCCGCCTTCCAGTCCGCCTATCGGTCCGCGCGCCCGTGGAGTGAATCTGCCGGCGCGAAATTGCACGTGCTGCCACTTGCCGCGCGTGCGGGGCGGCGTGCGCATGGAGGTGTCACGCGCTCGCCCGCGGCACCTGCAGCGCCAGTCCGGTGCTGCAAGTGCCACTCTTGCATTGGCACGGCGACGCTACCTGCTCCACTCTTGCATCACATTAGGCGGCACTTGGTGTGACCGCGTCGCCGGGCAGAATTTTGCTGAACGCTCCGTGAAAAAGCAGTAGAGACGCTTTTTTTTAGAATTTAGAGTTTATTGATGCATACATTTTTAGCGCATTTTCTCACTTATGAAAAAAATGCACTATTGTGCTCGCCATGTCTGTCTGTCCGTCCGTCTTTCTGTCCGTCCGTGACTTCATGTTTTCGTTGACGAAAAAATGCATGCGCTCTCTGTCACTAACTGCAGTAAAGACGCTATTTTTTTAGAATTTAGAGGTCATTGATACAAGAAGCTGTTGTAGCTTACTAAAGGAGTAACGCTTAGCCACTCCTATAGCTTTTCATTTCGCACTTCGGGCTTCTCATCCTATTTTATACCTGCTTAGCGTAGATAAAGTCATTCTAATGGCGGTTGCTCTAAATATTTTTCAAAGCGTCGAGCTATCGTTAAATACCTAATTTTTAAATTAAAAATTGAATAAATGTTTTAAAGCTAAGCATTGAATATTTTTATGAATGCTAGCAGCGCAACACAATATTTTAGTTCTGTTCATCGCAACCTAAGTTCGCTTTTCCAATTGCTTGATGCAAATAAAACATTTGAAACCTGATGAAACATTTTATTGGATGAGATTATCTTCCATTGCCAGGAAAAAAGTATATATTTTTCTATTGTATATATCTGTGCGCATGTACGTACGTTTGGTCTCCTATATACCAGGCATTCATGACTTCGTTATCCATGAATAAAAATATAGACTTATCGCAAAATTGATTCTTCACATTCATATCAGTTGCAGATAAGTCATGCAGCTTCACTACATACAATTTATGAATTACCCACTTATATAACAGAAAAATGGAGGCCTCAGTCAGTGTCGAAAGAGAGTAAATTGTATATATAATACACCAGTATATCAGTAAATTGTATTTATATAATGTATCAACCCATTTACACTTGTCGAAATTTTCCAACTTCACTGTAGGAAAACTCCTCACCTATACACTGAATTATATAGGTATCCATTTGATGTCCATTAAGTGAAAGTTTCCCAACACTTTAGTTGTTGCTGCAAAGAAAATATTTATTTGCAAATAAACATATATTTATTTACATAAATATGTAAATAAATATTTATTTATTTAAATATTTACATAAACTCTCTTCGCTGCTACGAAGAAAATTACAATTTATAAATAAGCCTGTATTTAATCATTTAAATAAATTTTCGGCATAAATGTTTTAATTATCAATAAATATTCATTTGTAACGTCGCAACAATATTGGATTACTTTCATTTGCCAGCGCCTGACAGTCACGAAATGTAGCACTATCCTATATATTTATATATCTTTATATTTATATTCATTATAATTTACACCGCTAAATTAATGGGCCATATTATCAAAATAGTGACACACTTTTTAATCATTGAATTTATGATCTCTTTTGCTAGGTAAACTGGGTCAGGATTACACACATAGGGGCAAAAAGTGCAGCACAATATGAACAAATTCCCACTCCATACCTTGAGTGTCGCTATATATATAGCGGACGTCACTATTTTCAAGATCATTAAAAAATCAGAATCTTTCGCCCATGCTGAAATATGACATGTGCAATTGTTGCCGATATTATAATAATAGAGGGAAAATTTTACGTTTTAGTACAATACTGCACAATTAATAAAAAATAGTTACTTTTACATAATTTCATAATTAACCTAAATAACTATTTTGATAATCTAATGATCGGCAATGCTAAATATGTATTAGTATAATAAATAATAATGCCTAATATTATTAATATTATTATTTTATTTTTATATTATTATTATTAGTAGTAGTTTAAGCACGTTTGCTAATATAACTTACTAGCTGTTATTAGTAGTATAACCTGTAATAATACTGGTTTACACTTTATTCTCTCCATTACATGTACCGATCGACTTGCGGAATCTGATGGATGCTGTTGCTGATATACACGATACTTCTATAGCTTCTGATGGATGCTGTTGCTGATATACACGATACTTCTATAGCTTCTGATGGATGCCGTTGCTGATATACACGATACNCGCGACCGAAATTTTCTGCAAAGCGAGAGCTGCATGTTTACAAAATGAATTTATGTGCGATACATCGCGTGCAGTCATGATCGCATGTATGATGAATACAAATGTGCAACACTCATGAATCTGTCTCTTATACACATCTAGATGTGTATAAGAGACAGCTTCTATAGCTTCTGATGGATGCCGTTGCATATACACGCTACTTCTATAGCTTCTGATGGATGCCGTTGCATATACACGATACTTCTATAGCTTCAGATGGATGCCGTTGCTGATATACATGATACTTCTATAGCTTCAAAGCATTCACCAGAATAATTTCGAATTGCAGAGACCGATGCTCATGTACCATCAGAACTGCAGGGGCAAGTTCCCTGCAAATAGAGAAATGAATAATTATCGGTAAGAAATATATCAGTTGTAAAATACGTCAAAATATGAATATGACAATAATGAAATATCATGAGTTTTAATTCCTGGTAAAAAGATGTTAAATTTAGTTGCGAACAACACAATAAACCCATGATCAATTAAATACCGTAACGAGCGTATAGTCTAGTTCATGACAATTATCGAAATAACACGGATAAACTTCGTTTTGATTAATAAATTGGTTTTTCAAACTTCATTTAAGTCACATTTCTTGAAAGATTTATCATTGTAAACCGAATTTTCTCTCAAAGAAAGATAAGAAGTGATACATAAAATAGACAAAGCATAAAATAGACACGAGATTGTCAATAGACTATTGACAATCTGGTTGCGTCGCTTTGATCGAATGCAACAGACATGGTAATGAGGTACCGTCTAACTTGTACGGATCAAATGTACTCATGAATGGCGCACGTGGTGTACATATTGTAGGTTATGCAGAGCAGTATGCTAAACAGCAGCATGTTCGCACAATGTCACCATGACTGGAATTATGTTCACGGCTGAAGCGCATTGTTATATGAAACTAGGCAGTGAAGGGAAGGTAAACCCTTTGACGGAACACGTACGTATATGCAGCCCCCGGCCGCTTCACTTCCGGGAGATTCACGTCGAGGTTCGGTTTGGCAGTTAAAAAAATCCTGCTGTCTTTGATGTTCTTTGGGAAGTGTTCATACATCTTATACAGTGTGCATATACATGTAGAGTGTTCATACATCTAATACAGTGTGCACACATGTAGGGTGTTCATTTCATTCATTCATTTCACGAAGAGATTGTCGTGGCGTCTCGTTCACATCGAACTTCGAGGGCACGTTACAAGCGGCTTAAAAAGACCCGAAAGGATAAAAACAGATGACGTCTATGCTAAACCAGAGGACATGTGCCAAGACTGATGACGTCTATGCTAGAACAAACAACATCTATACCAAACCACTAATATGCATGATAGATTAGATGACAGCTAGGCCTAAGATTCAAAGGCTCTACGGAAAAGTTCTGTTTTTAGGCGTCGACGAAACAACGGCAGCGAAGAAGCAGATGTCACCGATGCTGGCAGACCATTCCATGTTCTGGCCGCAGCGACCGGGAACGCTCTGTCGCCGACGGTGGACAGACGTGAAGACGGGACGACGAGGTCAGCCTTCGACGAGGAACGCAGTCGCCTTCTAGAAGGCAGATCCGACACGCGCC